CAACATGGTACAGCACCACAATCTTATCTGGTACAGACTCCAGATGGTCGCATTTATAGACGAAACCGACGACATCTTCTGAGGACGAACGAAGATCACGATGACTCGGTCAATGAGGATTTAGAAGAAGAAACTGATGATTTAGAAGAAGAAACTCCGCACACAGAAAACCTGCCGAATGATGAAGAGAAACGTATAGATGCGGAAGGAAACCAGATTACGAGATACGGACGGGTAGTACGTAAGCCGCAGCGTTATGGACTGAGCTCGAATTAACGTTTCCAGAGCAATTTGAGTACATTGAAAAAAAAAAAAGAAGAAAAAAAAACAAACATTAGTTAAGAACTTTCTTCGTGACCAAATTGATATGACATTTATAAGTCTTCCTGAACGAGGGAGATGTCGAGACTTTGAATAATTATACTTACTATGACGTAAGCTTTCTATGTATATATAAGAACGTGTTGACAATAAAGGGCATATATTTTGTAATACAAAGACGAGTACACAACACTGCTGACTCGACTTGACTCAAGTGAAGCCACTGACTCAACTTGACTTGATCAAAAACTGAAATGACTCGACTTGTGACTCGACCTTCAAGTGACTCGACTCGTGACTCGACCTGTAGGTGACTCGTTACAACACTGGTGAGAAACAAGAAAATAATGAAACATGCACTTTGTTTTGGTATTTACCCATTTGTGCCCTGATGCGCCTTACTTTATTACTTTACTCAGTCTAATATGCCAAACAATTTTATTTGTCCAGGGAGAGAGCTGGCGCCATAGAATAAAGATCCAGATAGAAGGGCCACTTATGTCGGAAGCTTTGAAGTTTCTGTCCCCGTGCATGTTGCATTACGCATGTTGGCCGCCATTTTCCTAGCCAGTCAATGACATTTTCTGGCCAATAAACACGCTGTACTGGCTGGCTGCTCCGCCTTCTGGCCAGTAAACTGCATATTTTTGCATAAAAAAATGCGGACACGTTGCCCTGCTGAGTGGCCCTTCTGTTACTGATCTTTATTCTGTGGCTGGCGCTTAATGGGTTAACTGGCCTATCTACCCATGTGTCTAGTTAACCCATTGAGTCACATTGTGCCCTGATATGCCCTAGTTTAATATTTTACTCTGTCTAACACCAGATAATTTTACTCTCTCTAATGCCAGACGATTTTACTCATCAAGGGGGGGGGGGAGAGCTGGCATTTAAATCAGTTAAAGTGACCCTGACACAAAAATATATTTTCAGTGTATTGAAAGTAGTCATTTAGTGTAGTGTTCTAGTGAAAGAATTTTTTTATTTCATTGAAACGAAAATTTTTTAGAGCCGTTTGAACACACAACATTTGGGCTTTTGGTTGGTAGGCCATCCGTGTTCAAAGTAAACTGGAACGTGCGATTTTTGTTACGTCATGCAAGTGAGTCAGCATATTCTATTATTCAACTAACACTGACTCTTGGCACATATATATGTAGATTTGTGTTCGAAAGAGATATGCCTTTTTACTGTGTTGCAGCTAACTTGCACCAATAAAGCATGTTTAAAAGATAGAATGAGTATACACAATATTCCATACTTCAATGACAAACACACAGAAGCTAAAAGACGAAGAGAAGTATGGGTTGATTTTGTATCCGCAAAGTGTTTGTTTGTGCCTTCAAAGACTTCGACTATATATGCTTGGATCATTTTAGACCAGAGGATTACGAGAGGCGATATTTTTTTCATTGCCAGGGTTCGGCAAGCCCAACTATCCAAAGCTATTAAAGACTGTCGATGATTTGCTTTCCTTTGATGATTCAATTTGTACTTCGAGGTTGTACAGGTCTGCTAAAAATAAAGATGCAAATCTGAAGACACAAGCTTGAAAATAACACTCTAAATAGTGTTTTGGATTCCGGTTCAAATAAGACTATTATGAGAAAGATATGTCCAAAGGGGCCAAAGTTATGCCATGCAAAAGGTATGGCCAGTTTACATTGTTCAAGACTAATTGAGTAATATAATGAATTATGACATCTCAAAGGTCATAAATAGCTATACAATTTGACTAAAACTATATTTGACTAAAACATCATTAGGAATTAAGATATTTTGTTTCAATGAATCAAATGGTTGTATTTTTGTCTTAATCTCAACATGTTCAGAAACATAAAATTACCAAAATCGTATCAAACAATTACCAAACTGGGGAAAAAATCTAAAAAAGAGAAAAATTATTTACTTAAGGCTTTTACTACAGTTAAGCTTTATTTGACGAGCTCTATCCAAAAAGCAAAAAATTAGAAAAATCGTATCGAAAAATTGGCAAAATTGGGGACAATTAAAAAAGTGGCATGTTAAGCATATTTGACGATCTCTATCCAAAAAGCAAAAAAAAAAAAAACCTAGAAATTATTCGAGAATTTACCAAAATTGGGAAAAATGGGTAAAAAATCAAAAGTTTCATATACAAAAAATGATCAGCATGTCGAGAAATGTATTTTAAACAAGATGTGAAGTGAGGAATTTTTTAAAAATTTTTTAGTGAGCTGAGCCTAAGCTACGTGTGTATTAAGTGGATCGATAGAGTATACAAAAGTGTCTATAAAAAGTGGAAACTCAAGCTGAAAAGTAAAAAAAAAATTGAAAAAATAATAGAAAAATTTTTTTGTGGTAAATCACCCTCATAGCATCCTCCTATCCTCTTGACAACATCGTCGTACATGCTCGTAAATTTCTTTGTCGGTAGCTTGTCAGTATTCAAACGAACAATCTCGGCAACGAGCAGGCACAAATTGCGAACATTGCGTGCCGGGAGTTATAGTAAAACGAGACTCTACTTATATGTACGAACAGAAAGTCAGAAACTAAAGATATTCTACGTTGGAAGGTCAGCAATCGTTTATGTACTTTACCTTTTGCATCTACTTGTAAATTTGATATTTATTGAGCGAAATTCATCGACATAATTACAATTTTTGCGAATTTGTGTTGACCACGCTTGTTGTTTTGGCGCCATTTTGAACGGGATCGGAAATCGACGGTTAGTCATCGGCTCGCGTTCGTGAATGTTGCGTAACTTTGAGAAATACGGAAATCCGTCGCAAAATATTGAGGGAAACGACAAAATGGACAAAACCAGTGGAGAAAATGTAGAATTAACTGAAGATAAGTCTTTACCGCAATTGCAAAAGATTTTCATGCAGCTTCAAGGAACTGGAGAAGGCAAATTAACAATCTGAACTACCAACTAGTAAATTATAGAAATATAGAATCACTGGAGAAGGGCTCCCAAGCATTGATAAGGCTAATGCGTGAACTAACTGAAGCGCAAGAAAGACTAGATAAGACTCTGGAGTCAGAAATGGAAAGAATAACTGTATTCGGAAGATTCGAGACAATGAGTCAAGAAACCAATCAGATACTTAAAGAAGTGGGTGCGGTTATATGCGACCTAAAGAAAATTGACGATGATAGATGTTCCATGGCGTCATCAAAATATAGCCGAAAATCTGGGAGAAAAAAATCATCTCGTCATTCTACTATGAGCACCACTTCGTCTACACGACAACGCAGACTTGATTTGGAAGCAGAATTAGCATGCCTTAAGGCTAAAATGAGCATGGTTAAGGTAAAGGAGGATTTGGACATAGCGAATAGAAGAGCTCTGGAGCAAATTGAAGAGAAAAAGATTGAAATTGAGCGAGAAGAGAAAAGGGTGAGAGAACAGATAGAAATGGCCACCGAGAAATATGAGATCTCAAAGGAGCTAGCTGAGAAGAAGGCCCGGATCAACGCATGTAAAAGGTTTGAAGAAGAAGTTGGAATGCCCGACTTCGGGGACAATGATCAGATTAGCGTAGATGAACATATTAAGAAATTTCTCGATTCTCAGCCGAACTTGTCCAGTAACGAAGCCCAGACCCGTGAAGTAGGAAATCAAGCTGTTCCTATAGTCGTTAACGATCAAGAGCCAATGGCAACATTCCAACTCAATCCCCTTGCACCTACCTATGCCAGTAATGGGCAAGCCATCAACATACTACCATACAGAATTCAACGTCCCTCAACCATGTGAACCAATCTTCAACTGCCATTGACGACAACCTCGGAAACCCCAACCTAGTCCAAACCCAGCTGACTACGATATCGAAACTCTTAGAAATCCAGAATCAAAGTAGACTACCTTCGCCAGAGCCTGGCGTCTTTTCTGGCGATCCCCTGCAGTACCCAGTATGGGCGAAAGCCTTCGAAACGCTAATAGAAAGTCGTGCGATTAACTCTGCGGAAAAACTGCATTATTTGGGAAAATATGTTTCTGGTGAAGCAAAGGCGATTGTCGAAGGATTTATGTTACTCGATGGCGATGACG